ACCCAACTCACTCGATGTTGTCCAAGGACCATTTTACCAACGTGAGCATTCAATCCCCATTCACTGTCCCTTTCGTGTATGTGCTAAGGCTAGATAAATAGATCCTGAATGAAATTGCCGGCCAAAGTGCCGCTAAGATGATTACTTGGGTCGTGCCCCAGATCATGCAAGCTATCGACGACGATGGCGTTGATGTGGACCGATTGGTCACCCGCATTGTCAATGGAGTTATGCACCACCCAGCCCAGCGTGAAATGGGCGACGACGGAGCTCAAGAGGGTCGCCAACAGATCTTTCAAGCCGTCCAGGAATGGTGGAGTGAGATGGGCGAGGACCAGCGTCAGGACTACCGCCGCAAGCTGAGCCGACGTGGCGTCCAGAACGGAGAGAACCACAAAGAAGGCGTCTATGACACTGGCCATGGCCACGGGTGCAGCGGTAAGCTCAAGATGCAGAAGCTGTACGGTGAACCCGAGACCATGGAAGATAAGATCGCCAGTGCCGCAGCTGGAGCCATCATCTCAGGTGCTGCTGAAGCGTTGGGCGGTGGTAACGGTGGTGGTAAGAACACCCCGGGCGGTGACCTCGGTGGCTTCCTTGGAGCACTGGGAAGCGCATTCGGTGTTGGTGGTGATGATGGCGAGACAAAGAAGAAGAAGAGCCGACGTGATGAGGATGATGAGGATGATAACCAGGGCAGCAGCTACCAGCAAAGTTCGTACGGGGGAAATAACACTTCTTCATATGGGCAAGGCGCCTCTGAATCCTACAGCCAGGGATTTAACAACAACTCCCGCCAGGAGAGCCGCTACGGTGGTGGTGAGGCCGCTTCATACAGCCAGGGCTTTGGATCTTCCCAGCAAAGCTACGGTGGCTCCGATGAGCGCCGTCACGAAAGTGGTGGCTATGGTAGCGAGCAACGTCAGGGCGGTTACGGTGGCTCTGATGAGCGCCGTAATGAAGGTGGTTACGGAGGTGGATATGGCGGCTCCGAGGAGCGCCGTTCCGAACGTCGTCATGAAGGTGGCCATGGAGGAGACTCAGACGATCGTCGCCCGGGTGGTTATGGAGGCGGCTACGGTGGCTCTGATGAGCGCCGTCACGAAAGTGGTGGCTATGGTGGCGAGCAACGTCAGGGCGGTTACGGAGGCGGCTACGGTGGCTCTGATGAGCGCCGCAACGAGGGTGGATATGGAGGTGGTTACGGCGGCTCCAGCGAGCACCGCCGACGCGATTCCAATGATTCGGATGAGGAGAAGAAGCATCGACGACGCAAGTCAAATGACTCTAACGAAGAAAAAGAGCAGCGCTACCGTCGTGACGATTCTGATGACTCTGATAAGAAAAAGCATCATGGACGCCGCCGCGGATCTAACGATGATGATGATGATGATAATGAACGCCGCGGAGGCTACGGTGGTTCCTCTGGTGGTTATGGCGGGGGAGGTTACAGGCAGGAGGGAGGCTATGGCGGCGAGAGTGGCTATGGAGGCGGCGGTGGTTATGGAGGCAATGATAGCTACGGCGGTGGAGGCTATCGTAACTACTGATGATATCGGGCTACTGTCCTCCTGCTCATTCCCCCATGAGAGTAAACAAATTTGGAGGATCTCGGGTGATAGCATAGCTCTAGAGCCTTGCACATAGCACCATCCCCTTCCTGTCTGGGGTGTCTTGCATTTGATATTCTCCTGTTGCCGCACATTGTTATTGAACAATAGTTCTTTAGTCGCTATGATTCCCAAAACCTCAAACCTAGGGTGTTTTCACAAAATGGCCTAGTTGAGGAGGTTGTTGAATAGGTCCCTAGGCACCTTAGGTAGCATCAAGGCCCCCTGTTACGTTGCACGGCTTGCCTTGGGCTTGCAACAATTTACGCGTATAACAAAAATAAAATTAAAAAATTGAAGCAGAGATTTGGCATCGGCGGCTTTTTCTTGTGCAACCATGCGTCTTTGAGGGAGTCGACCCGTGAACTGATTGGCTCGGCTGCGTTCCGCGATTGGGTGAGGTTGCATTTCTGTAACCCGCCCACTCAGCCTTCACGCTCTGAAATGAGAACATTAAGCTGCTCATTTTCGAGTCTGCGACCGGTATTGTTAGATTATTGAGTGTTAATTGTGCATATCTGAGAGACAGTAGAATATGTTGTTGCCTTATACTGCTGAATATTCTACTTATCGTAGCAAGTGGTCTATTTATAACTATTCTTCCATTGGATGTCTCATTTCTCCCGTCACCCACTTGAGTGCCTCGCGAGGGTCAGGAGATCTACCGTCAAGTCCTGGAATTACGAGATTTTGGCCTTGCTATTCCTCGCTCAATCTCCATGCACTTTTGCTGATGGATATCCTCGGCCGCTAGACGTTTGGAGACACTACCGTTGTGGCCTCGACGCCAATTAATAGTTCCAGTCTATTCCGGCAACCTTCTTTCGGTGAGTTTACATGCACATTGGGGGTTAGAGAAACTCAATCAGAAGACTAAATTGGAGGCGCTGTGTCACCGTCATGATTTGCGTGTGGCTGTGAAATGGGTCCTCATTGGTCCAAGGGATGTGGGCGGTAACAGCATTCTGTGTGGTTGATTCCGGGGATACAGGCGGGGCCAAGATTGATGTGTGTGGTTGGTATCCTAGAGGCTGTGTTAAAGGTGTGCCTGGCGACCTTGAGCTAGACAAGCTTTTTGAAGGCCGGTCTGGTTGGTGATTCGCTGTCACACGTGAGTGAGCTGGTGTGGATGGCCCCTGGACAGATAGATCCAAGACAACCCCGCTCCGCTCCTCATGAAATAGCAATCAGGTAGAGGGCGACAGCGCGTGCGACAGGATACACAACGAGTGTTTTTGGGGTTGGACTCCTGCTTTATTCCCATAGGATAAGGTAATATACCTGGCAGAATCGCAGGTGCCTTGGTGGATGTACCTTGCTTCAACTGTGGGCAATAGGGTAGGTATTAAGACCAACAAGTGATGTAGTATGTAAGGTGGTGCAGCAATTGGAGTTTGGCGGAGACGCTGACGAAAAAAGTCCCTTGAGAAAGTCCCCTTGGGAACTACCTTAGCTTGCTTTTAGGTACCTATCGGGCTTGGGAGTTGAATGAGCCCACGCCATCTAGTAGAAGGGATCAGCCACCACAGCCTACGCGGACGATGATTTTTAACCCTTCGAGGGAAGATAGAGAGGGGCATTAATAAGGGTTTCCGTACAGACATGCAGACTTGTATGCTTTTAGCTCGAGATTGTCGGTCCAGGCAACTCGTATTGTCTCAAGGATGGAGAAATCCAGGATCCTCACAAACAACTCAGGCAAGCGGACGAGCTGATCAAGGACAGAGCTGAAAGGGATGGAATGAGAGGGTGGGGCCGTCGGATCCATTCCCTGTTGTCATCGCATGGAGTCACTACGTCGTACGTATGGAATCATTGTGTGGGTGGTGCAGTGGAGATGGACCGCGACCTGGTCGTGTGTGTGGATGCGGTACATGGCGGTGGTGACGCCTCGCGCCACCTGCGCCACTGCTGCTGGTTGCTGCCCTCCTCGTTGCGGGTGCCCAGCCCGGGAATATGTACTTGCTGTCACGAAGATAAGGCTAGGTGGGGTTGGCCAGATTCATTTCCAGAACAAGGTATAGCGGCTAGACATCGCGGCCGTCTCCTCGTATGGAGGTACATGCTGTCCAGACAAGACATCTCAGTTTCAGCTAGAGCCACAGACGACGGATGGCCAGAACTTGGAGATGCAGAATGGCAGAACTGGGGTACGCCAGGCGTGTCGCAGATGGCTAGCGCAGGACGGCATAGGGTTGCAATTTGTTCAGTACGAGGCCATGGCCAGCCGGCCGACAGCGAGTCGGTCAGGTCGCGCGGACACCAAAATCCGAGGGACAATATTAATTTATCGTGACGACGGAGTCGATGGGTGCTCACGTATGCTCAACGCCGCAAGTCCCGGTATTGGTCAGATGGCAACAGCAGTGATTGTGTCAATAGCGTTGGAACTCCACCCTCTGGCTGCGTCAGGGCCTTTTTTCAATCAATCCACCTGCTCGGTCTCCTTACTGGCCCCTAATGACCTCTAGCAAGCAATCCTCTGTCCCACAGTTGCCGCCCTCGCCGAACCCCCGGAAGGATCAGCCCAGGCCTTTTCCTCCCAATTGCCTGCCTGCCTCAACTGCCAGTTGCCCAAGCACTGACCTCCAGTACCTGCTCTCTGGGTGCTTATGTGCCATCTAGCGCAGTGACCATCTGTGCACCGCCGGGCTGCTCTTCTCTGCCGACAGCCTATCGCCTACTGCCATCCATCCATCCATCCATCTGCTCTGCTACTGCGCCTGACCACAGGGCGGCTACAGAATCTGTTGCAGAACAACGCCCCTCCCAGCGCATCTGGACCTCCGGATCGTTCCAGCCCTTCCAGCCAATTCGACAGTTACCCGACCGGCCTGTTTCGTATTCTCATTGCCTCTGCCAACCCAGCGAGCGTCTTTACCCGACAACGAGCTGCCCTCTAACCAAACTCGCTTCTCTTCTTCAGCGCCGTTCTATCGGGGACCCGTCTCTCATCTGCAGACCACCTTCCATCGGTTCTTCCGCCTCACAGCAGCCGTGTGCTGCTGCTGGCACAGCCTGAACACGTCTTGAGATTACCAGCTCATTACCGACCGGCCGTCGCTCTTTTTCTCTCTCGTGGCCTCGTCCCTGCTACTCTCGGCTGCTGCATCCGTATCGCATCGCACCCTCGGCCGCCCTGCCAACACTCGAATACCCATTCGTTTCCTAGCGACTTGCCCATTCGAATTTGCCTAGAACGTGCGTGGATTCTCATTCAACTAGTCGTTGTGTCAACTTGACAACCTGGTCGCCGATACACGATACCACCCTATCCGGACGCGCTTTCCCTACGAACCGATCGTCAATCAATAATTGTACATATACTGGCCTTGTTGTTGTTGGGCTAAAGGCGCCCGTTATACCATGACTACCGCAAGTTGATTTAATATGTTTCAGAAGCATGTGTAAGTTCGCGCAGGCTCTTCCCCATCCCCTCAATCGACCTCAAGCTTGGATGAGTTGTTGGCTATCAGCCGAAATGTGACGTCGTGCCAACAACTCCTCTGTGAGGCTTCAGTGGGATTCTATACTAACATCTTGCAGCACTCTCCGAGATTCGAAATTATGTGTACGTCTGCTCGTGTTTCACTATTTCATCCGCACCCGTCGATTAGCTTCCGACCATTGGTCCCATCATGCTTTCGTCATGTTATACGCACCTTTCATACGCATTGCACCCCCTACTATCCTGATTTCAATACTGGGGATCATCCTTTGACAATAATCTAGGCTCCTCTTCAAAAACCCATCGTGGAGTGGTGAAAGCACGGTTCCGTCGACGTTTATTAGCAACGTGACTGGTTTTTCGGTTGGTGACATGGATATTTTCCGTGAAACTTGGCTCACAACAGCTAACATGGCCTTTTTTCGATAGGATGACATCGCCTACGGAGAGCGGATAGGCACTAACCTCACGACGTTGACGACGACAAATGCTAGAACCTTGAATGGTGTCATAAAGGGCCTACTTTACGTCCCTGATATCAAAGGTATCACAAATTGCGACCATATACAATACGACTTTATACCCACCAATGTTACCCGACGGCGCGATCTGCCTCCCATAAACTACGATTTGATTGCCCTGGCTCCATGGTTCAGCATGGAGTGCACGTTGGCATATCTCAATGCCGCACGTCTCGACCCAATTCGTGCATTCATCTTCTACAAACCTAATAACTCAACCAACAAGCCTCAAGATGTGGACTCGCCGGTATGGAATCTCGACGACAATGGATCGTGGAAAAGTTCAAACCAATTCCCAGTCTTTGCCGTGCCCGGCTTTGACGGACAGCGCATGATGTCGCAGATTAGCCAGTACTCTGGGAATGCGACAGAAGTCCCCAATAGCAAAGCCATTCATTACACAATGAAGACGAATTCGCAGGATTACATTCGAGTAGCGACAGAGTTGCAAATGACCAGCCCTTCGGACATGCTCGCGCTCTGGGTGTTTTTCATCATTGTCATTGGTGCGCTCCTGGTTATTATCCTCATTGTGTCTCTTTCCATGCGGTTCATCCAACGCCGTCGGAGAACAGCACTTCGACGTCGGGTGATGTCAGGCGAGGTCGATCTGGAGGCAAGCGGAATCAAGCGTGTGGTGGTCCCTGCATCCCACGTACAAAACTTCCCACTCTACACCTACAATGCCGAGCCGGGGCTGGCGAGTGCACCCCCTACACCCAGCTCAACGGGTGCCCCAATCTCTTCTCGATCAGTTCGGTCTTCACGAACAAGCCGACGCCACCATGATGCTAAAAGCGTCGTATCTGATGTTCGCCCCCCTGGGAGTATCAGAAGTAAAAGATCTAGCCTCGCGGGCTCAGTCGACATGACGGCAACGAATTTTCAACCCAACTGTCACATCTGTCTTGTCCGATTTGAACACCGAATATCTATTATTCGAGAATTGCCTTGCGGCCATATTTTTCACCCGATGTGTATTAATGAATTTCTCACAGAAAACAGCTCCTTGTGCCCGATGTGTAAACACTGTATGCTTCCTGTAGGCTACAGTCCGAAGATCACGAATGCAATGGTACGTCGCGAGCGGGCTTTGCGACGTTTGCGCGGGCGAGTAGACCTCGAGATCGACTCGCCGCTGGAGGCCAAGGATCCAAAGATAAAGATTTGGGGCAAGCGGGTGTTTAGCAATTCGTTCGCCTCGACGACTAGCATGGTTCACGAAGTTCCAATGACCCCAATTAAACCGAAACCCATTTCTCAAGAGATAAGCCTCCAGTCGCCCTCTACGACTTCAGAACGACCGGAGTCAACGGCTTTGTCAGACAGTGGCTCGACAGCTGGGCATCCCGAGCAACCGGAACCATCACCTCAGCCGATGAACCAGGCCAGAATAGCTCGGCCACGAAAGAAGCGACCGAGAAACTTACGCCTTCTCCCCACCCAGCCGGAGAATTCCGAACTCAGGACAGAACCTGGAGGAGGAAGAAAGAGTCCGTCCTCATTTGCTCGGGAACGGATGCGGGAGATAGCTGCAAAGAACGCGCCATTTGACGACCCGGACCAACAGCGTCCAAGGTGTAAGTCGAGCTTCCGAGGGTTTTTTTTTGCGTTTAACGTAGCCGGTTTTGCTAACGTGAATATACAGGGCGTCGTGCTGTCTCCATCGTTTTCCCGGCGTTTGGTTGATTTTTTTTTGGTAGACTCACATTTGTTTTTTTTGGCGCCGGTCTGACACTGGTGTGTGTGTATGGAAACAATGCATGGCACAGGCGTTTTGGCATATCATGGGCTGGGCCCTTATCGTTTTGTCGGCCTGTGGCACCACGGATAGTCATTTAATCTCCAAGCGAGGGCAGCAAAAGATCCCCGAGCAGCTGGGGGATCAAACTTGTTTTGCCTTACTGAATGCGATAGACATTGGAGCAGGATATGACATCTATCCCCTGGGCTGGGTAGTGAGATAGCAAGGTCTTGTTAAAATGGGAGAGGCAAAGGCGTCAGGGCTGGCTGCTTTCCCTTACGAGGTTCGGAGTTTCTGGCATCATGCATAACGGATGAGAATTGTATTTACGGGACCGACCAAATGATTTTTGGATTACAAGATAGATGTCGTGCCACTTTGACTAGAAATACCACTGTATGTATCGTCAACTCATATCCCGTATACTGGACTCGTTGCATATTTTGTGCACTTTTGAAATAGGCTCCTTTCTAGATAAAGATGTGAAAAAAAAAACGCAGTGAAATAGCCGCAATCCAGTCAATTCGTTCATTACATTGGATAAGATATATTTCTATGAGTTCCACAGAACCTGTGGTTGTTTGCGATGCGATTGAAACTAACTGAACTTGTAAACCAAAACATCCGTAGCCGCCATAACGAGAACAATAGGAAAGTCCCATGAGAGAAGAAAGAGGAGAAAAGAAAGGTATATAGCGTGTAATTAAGCCGAACGCGCAGAAAAAAGAAAAGGAGAAACCAAAAACTTGCCTCGTCACTTGCCCTCGATGAGGGGCTCGTCCCTGAGGCCGCCCTTTGCGAGGGCCTCCCTGACGCGGTCGTTCTCGGCGGCGCTGATCCTCCGGCGGGCGGTCTCGAGGCGCTCGACGCCGCGGTCGATGGTCTCGATGTGGACGCTGAGGGGCAGGGACTTGGTCTTGGTGGCGCCGTCCCTGAGGAGCTCGGGGGCGGCGACGCGGTCGCGGAGGTCGCTGAGGCCGGCCTGGATGGTCTCGAGCTCGAGGATGAGGGCGCTGACCTGCTTGACGGCGGTGGAGCGCTGGGAGTCGACGCGCTTGAGGAGGGTGAGCTGCTGGGAGAGGTTGTGGAGCTTGGCGTTGTTGGCGCCGAGGTAGGTCCAGAGGTCGCGGAAGACCTGGTCGCGGCGGGAGGCGACGTTGGCGGAGGAGCGGGAGGAGATGTCGTAGATGAGGGAGAGGTGGTCCTCCGCCTTGGTGAGGAGGCGGAGGACGGCCTGGGCCTCGAGGATGAGGGTGGAGATCTTGTCCGAGACGAGGGCCGTGTGCTCGATGTACTTGTCGAGGATCATGCGCTCGCTGAAGCCGGCCTCGCTGGGTTGGAAGGGGTAGAAGAACCAGGCGGCCCATTGGGAGAGGAGAGGCCCGGAGTCCTTGGTCGGGTCTAGGGAGTCGATGAACCGGGACGTCCAGCGGTTGATGGCGACGACGGCATCGACGGCCGAGCCGCAGTGGGTGTTGAATCTCTGTAGGTCTGAGGCGGATTGGCGGGCGAGATCGATGTAGCCATCGAACTCGAGGACAAGCTCTTCCCGTGCTTGGATCTCGCTGTGTCTGACGAGGGTTCTGAGATCTCTGATAGTGGTCTCGGAACGCTTCATCTCGAGCGGAAGTGAGACTCCTTCAGAGCTCTTCTCCAGGACCTGCTCAAACTGATCCTGGACAGTCATTAGATCATCAAACTCGACAGGCTGATGCATCGTGTCGAAGGGGATGTCAGGGGATGGCCTCTGTGGGCAAAAGGGAATGTTCAGGAATGAAACACCAGGAATCCGACATAATGGTGATAGCGAGGCCGATATCGACGTGGTGACCATGTTCTGCGCAATGATGAGAGCGCCAAAAGATAGATATACAGCGAGAAGCAGAGCAAGTGGCTTCTGGGCATACCGGAAAGCGAGGGTGATGACTCCAAGGACCCAGCGGAGAACATCAAACAAAACTTCAGGCAGAGAGCTAGTGGGAGGGCCTGTAGCGCGCCTTCTGCCGTCGTCATATCCGTCGCCATCGTCCCGAAAGCTCATGCTTCTCATGTCCCTCAGTTTAGAAGGGCTGCTTTGAGATGATGCCTGTGTCCGCCTTCTCACATTGCGCTTTGGGCTCCGCGCGCTCGCGCTTCTTGCCGTATCGACTTCAACTAGAGGCATCCTGAACTGCGTGTCTGGAGTGCGAGCAGAATCCGGGAGACTGGGGCGAAAGGGCTCGCGCAAGATGACCTGGTCGTCGTCCTGGTGCCTGGAGAAGTCACGGATACTGTCCTGAGAATGCGAGCCTAGACTTGTGTTGCCTTGGGAGAGTGACGATGGCTGTGATGGCTGAGAGGGGAAGCTGGATGATGGTTGCTCGCTGGGGATGATATCATCATCTAGATCGGAGACACCAGGGAGGAGAGTGGTGTCGAAGCTGTCATGGTCGCCTTCTACCATGCGCCATGAATCCTCGATGGGAAGCTCACGCCTGCGCGAGCTCATGGCGCACCCTCTTCACCAGATAGGTGGATGAAGGACCAGGCAGACACCGGAGATGGCTATCGCTGGTGTGAGTGAAGGTGCAAGGTTGTGGGAGCGAGGATGGGCGCGTTGTGTTTATATATAGAGACGCAGTGCAGATATCGGTCTGGGGGCTGGCGCAGGAGTGCGCTTTGTCTGGCTAGGCAGAAGCGAAGACAGCCGAGACGCTGGGATTAGCTACAGTGTTTGGTAGGACAGAGCTGGTCGTTGGCGAGAGCGAGTGTATGTAATGTACATTGGTTGTAAATACTGTACGTAGTGCACCGGAGTGGATGTGGCGAAACATGGGGGTTGTTATTGGCTGCAGATGATCCCCTGCAAAGTTGCCTGGGCGCGCTTGAGCGATCCATGAAATGCAGTAACTGAGCTGGTTTATCTTCGCCGTTTTAGCGCATTCACTGGAGCGATTCTGGGGTGCAGCAGTCGAGAACAAGTTCACGGCGAGTCGATGCACTGTCGTTGAGTCACCACCGGCTGTGTTGACATGAGAAGCAGGGATGACGGCACATCCAACGACGATTAATGAATAATAACCTTGCAGAAGCGTAACTGCGCTGCCGTTGGGCAAGGCAGTCAGTCATGTGCCGGCTTGAGCTTATCTGAGCTTGCCAAGGGATGCCCGTCTAGCTCGCTCGGAGAGGCACAGAGAACATCCCGATACCCGTGCATATCCTGGAGTTGAAGACGAGAGAAAGAAGAGTAAATACGATTATCCAGACCCATGTATCCATGATTGGCTGCCGTCCATAATCACAATAGCAATATACCTATCCATGCTGTCTCGCCTTGCATATGCAACCACCTAGTAGTGAAACTATCAATCAGAGGCGGAGAGCATGACTTGGGAGAAGGTCATGTGGCCGACAGCGGCGAACACTAGCTAAGTAGAGCCTCTACCCGATATCAATGACAGGCATGTAACATTTTTTTACGATAGAGGTGATGTGCTTTTTTATGTGTCTTCGCTTGTTGAATCGTCTAGGTGAATGAAGCTGTTTGAACAGCCGCTGGCTATGTACCTAAAATCTCCTGCTAATTAAATACCTAAGCCAGGTAGCAATCAAATCAATTCTGAGTTGGGATAACTCGGGATAAACGGCAATTTTTAACGGGCGAACATTAATTTTCCCTCTTATTTCTGTCATGACGGAACCACCATGGACAAGGCAGAGACTCGGCTCATGTCACAGCATCAACAGACACAAACCTGTACCTGTCGGGACAATCAATCAGAACTATCCGTGTTTGCGCTAATACTCCACACGCATGTGCTCAGCACGACTGTTCTGGTAATTACCTGTCTCCTGGCAGCCGATCGCCGGGTGTTTGATTAGTGCCGAGGCTTCGGCCCCGGCCACTGCCCCAGGCCTAAGTTTATTACGGACATCAAAACTCCTCCACACCAACTCAGCTTCACCCGCGACCTCGCTTCTCCCGACATCCACACGATCCAACCATGCCGCGATAGCCCTCCTCCGACCCTCGAACCCATCAAGATTGTCCCGCCGGCCCGACTCTCCACCCCGACGCAATGGCTGACTCGAGCTTTGCCCTGGCGCAACAGCGTGTGGCTGCCCGTCGCCAAGCCCGCGAATCCCAAGAGGCCGCTCGAATCGCTGCACAACGCGAGGCCTCTCGTGCGAGTGCGCAGCTGCAACGCTTACCATATCCATTCAATGGCCTTTCGTCCGTGTGGGATACCATCTCCGCTCGCCAAGGCACGCGGCCTGCCTTCCGAGTTGGCCAGGTCGACGCGGAGCTCCTGGACCAGGAGCTGCTGGACCTCCTCAAAGGCCAAGCCGGCGAGGCGCTCAAGTACTTCTCGGATGGCCACCTCAGCGATGATTGGTCTGCCGAGATCTCCCTGGCCCTCCGCGCCATCCTGTTCAAGCTGACTGTCTGGGACCATGACGCAACCTACGGCGCTGCGCTGCAGAATCTGAAATACACCGATGCCAGGAAGGACGGGGCCGTGCTCGTGCCACCCTCTCGATGGCAGAAGTCCCTCTTTGGGGCCGTCACCGTGTTTGGTAGCTACGCCTGGACAAAGTGGGAGGACTGGCTCGTGGAAAGAGACGATGGCTACGCTGAACCTAATCCTCGACTGGAGCATCTGTCCAAGTTCACATCTACCCTCTCCACCGCCCACAGCGCAGCAGCCTGCGTTTCATTCCTGGTATTTCTACTCAACGGGAGGTATCGGACGCTGCTGGATAGACTACTAAGGATGCGACTCGCACCGCCCACCAGCCAAGTTAGTCGAGAGGTCTCATTCGAGTATCTCAACCGTCAGCTGGTGTGGCACGCCTTCACTGAATTTCTCCTCTTTGTCTTACCTTTGATTGGCATTAATCGATGGAGACGGTGGTTGAGCCGCACCTGGCGCAAAACCAAGGAAATCATCCAGATCGGCCCCGAGGAAGGGAGCTCGAAAAATGGAGAGTATGCGTTTCTTCCAGAACGAACATGCGCCATCTGCTATCAGGACCAGAACGAAGCTGCGACGACGGAGAACGAGGTCATGGCCGTGGCAGCATCCAGTGGTGTGATCGGTTCTACCCAGACTGACATCACCAACCCGTACGAGGCCATCCCTTGTGGATGCATATATTGTTTCGTCTGCCTCGCCACTCGTCTTGAACGCGAGGAGGGAGAGGGTTGGACGTGCCTTCGCTGTGGGGAACACGTCAAGGAGTGTAAGCCGTGGAATGGTGATGTTCTTGAGCCAGCCAATAAGTCTGGCTCCTCCAAGACAGTGGCGTTCTCTGATGACTTGCCAAGCAGCCCACCAGTGGATAAAGTCCCTGCCGGTGCTGATAACCTTGCTGCGGAGGTTATTGAGGAATGATCGAGAACCCACATAACCTTGTCAACCACATCATGGTTATCAATCGCGTGCCCTCGTCTCTCCATCGAGGAGATATCTTGAAGATCTGATGCACGCGCGGGTCAATTTATAAGCACAATTTATAAGCCGAAATCGTCTGGCAAGAGGCACAGCAGTGTCCCTTCTGCATGACCCAATCAGTAACAAGCTGAGGTGTTGCGGAAGGGTTCAGTTCTGAACCAAAATACCTCATGACAATGCCGCTAGATGTGGGTTGAAGCATAACCTTGTTAGCTTCCGGTAACCTTTTCGATAAGCTTGTTTCAAGCGAACGCGCTATGTGTTAAACATTAGAGACATGTGTTGCGCAAAGGAGGGTGTGTTTTAACCACATTAACTATAGACTTTTGTTATTGCTCCTATCTCCGACTCCAGAGCGTGTCGGAGAAGGAGAGATCTTCCTGAAGAGATATGGCCTGGGACTTCTCATCTATTTATTGCGACTAGATTTCCCTCCTCTGTTGTTCTGTCCTCTCCCAACAGACTCAACAATCTATCAACGGGTCTTCACAAACCTTAATACAATTCCTGTATCCGTCCAGGAGACAAAATAAATTCTAATTCCTCATCTTTCCGAGCCACCTGGGATTAAAACACAATGGACGCTATTTTCGAAACCGCCTTCGCACAGCTTGGCCACCCGCCAGGTTCCATCGGAGGTGCACCTACTCCTGAGCAACTCCTGCCCAACAGCTCCCAGCAGCTGGGGGCGGAAGCCATGATCAACACAGTCTCCAGATTCATGAACATCCCCCGAACCCCGGACCATGTCACCGCCGAGCTGCTGGGGAGCATCCTCGTCGAGCGGTACTTCATGGAGTACGCCGACTTCATCCCGCCCGGCGTCAGCAACGAGCACCGCTTCCTCACCAACAGGGCCGCCCTCAGCAACGACGCCCACCAGACACCCGCCAGCCTCAGATCCTGGTGGGGCTCCATGATCAGGAGCGTGCAGGACGAGGCCGCGCCCCTCGGCGCCCTCATCCGCCTCATGGCCGACGGCGAGTTCACCCCGGAGGTCGGCATCTTCCGCGACATGATGTCCTCCACGCGCCACTTCGTCCTCGCGGCCGCCACGTGCGGCGAGCACGACTGGGCAAACGTCTTCGCCAACGTCGAGGACTACGTCCACCACGGGACGCACCGGTACTCGGGCGTCCGGTACCTGATCGAGAGCGGCAGGGTGGAGGAGGCCAGGGTCCGGGTGGACAGCGACGAGGCTATGCTCGACGCGAGGCTCTACGGCCACTGGGAGCATTTCATCCAGCCTTTGCGCGAGGCGATTCTCAAGTTCCGCCAGGCGCACGGTCTGCTTTGAACATAATATCTTGTCTTTTGTCTTAGTCTTTGTCTTTGAATGGTGGCTTGCTTCACCCACAACTGTGTATTACTAGGAATGAACAGCAAGCCTTGTCCCTTTTCAGAGGTTGAAATCATCTACATTTGGCCGATTCTAGTGCTTGGGCTCTAGGGAAATCTGGCATTTTCTTTGTTTTGTTTTTTTTGGAGTAGCCGGATCATATCACTTATAGCTACTCTCTCACAAATGATGAATTGGAGAATGATCTCGTCTGACATCCCGTTTAAATCCTTTCCTCGCTGGAAGGGAAAAAGCGATGCAATCCATTATGCTTTCGTTCTATGGCCTCTTTTATCCTTCCACGTGAAGAAACCAGATCCCATTTCCCAGCGCCAGGCTAACACATGCTATTAATGATACATTCGCGCCTTGTACAGTGTTCAAGAAAATTTATACAAAGAAGAGGAATAGGGCGTAGTCTCTTCAGGGGCCTCCAAGGGGCCGCTGCTTAAGCCTGATGACGTGCTTCACCTCCGTACTGGTGGAGACGAACCTTTTCTGCTGCGGATCGAACCACCCGACGACGGCAACCGTCATCACGGCCGAGGGGCCTAACAGCTCAACTAGGCCGTCGACCCGGATACAGCCACGGGTAGGTTGTGGCTGTATGGGTTTTCGGTGTTTGGCTAGCGTGAGAGACGCAGCGTGTAGCGCGTGCTGGAGACTTGGGGAGAGCCGAACCTCGCCTTCGGGCTTCCGGAAAAGACCTGCGAA